TGGGGAGATTCTGGCAAAGGGCCCTGAGATATTCCCAAATATCTGACCTTTTTATAAATCTCACATTTTAATTAATTTGCTAAAAAATGTATTTCAATAACCAATTTGATTACTTCCACCACTATAACCAGCATCAAGTCTTGCAAATTTGAGATTAATTATACTATTTATTGTTTTTAAATTTAGTTAATATTCTTGGAAAAACAGAGCATCTCAATTTAAATTCTACTCATGCTTCTTATAACACTTTCTAAAATCAGAAATAGCAACAATTAAATCTAATTTTTGCCCCTGGACCAAAATAAATGAAATTTAAATTAGACCTACCTGTTAAATTCAATGCAACAAATATCTACTCACAGACTTGCTCGGGTACTCTCCTTTATAAAATGTCCAATTTTTATGTTTGGGGTTGTAACATGGACTATGGACAATGGACTATGTCCAGACTTCAGGACATATGAGAGCTACATGATATGTAGCATGGTAAGCTTAGATTTATAACTTCTAATATCACCCAACCCTGAATTTCTAACATTCTATCTTGTGTAGACTCTTGAGTAATTTATTTGACTACAGAAACATATTTCCATAATAACAAAAGATATTTAAACACTTTCAGAAACATGTTGTACTCCTGCTACCCTATCACTGTTTTGTTCTTCACAGAAGCAACTTCCTAGTTTATTAATCTGAGGGTCCTAGATAATTCCCAGTTCTTCGATGGCAATGTAATTTCCTACAGTCCACCCCTCCCCACTGACAACCTATAACTTCTAGAAAAGCAACACAGTGACAATTCTACCTGAGACCCTGAACAACAGCAAGAGCAGGCAGTTGAGAAGCAGCCACAGTTGGAGAAGCATTTTGCATCATTCCTGGGCCCTGAGTGTGGGCTCCAGTTACAGAGCAGATGTGGGTGTCAGCCACTGAAATGACAGAAATTTTGCCCTCTTTGTGGCTGGAAGTACAGGGAAGTAGAGCCCGCACCACAGAGGAGGGGAGAAAATCCCCAAGGTCAGAAGACGGAAGGAAAACCCGGAGAGTCTACACAGGCCTCGGCCGTGTAGAGCAGCACACGGGGCAGGCAGACAGAAGGAGCAGCACAGCGGAGCAGAGCCTGAGCTGCTGTCGGCCATGGCCGCCGGGAGGCAGGACGCTGTGCCAGGTTTACCTTGTACTGACTGAAGTGGGTTAACCACCTACAGAACCAAATGTTCCTCAGTGACTCACAGCAGACGCTAATGTCTACATAGTCTGCAACACTCATAACTTACTATCAACAGGTACTTGACACAAAGAAGTAGGAGTGCCTGAGGCAGTCGGAGGAAGAGACCACCACTGCAAGCCTCCTCAAGAGGACAGCTGGTGTTAAAATTGTCAAGGACCTTAAAGAAGCTGCTACAATTCTCTACCAGAAGAAAAGGAAAACAAACTTGAATTTTAGAAGAAAAAAAGGAACCACCAGAGAAATATGAGCCATAAAAAACAATACATTGGATCTTCTTATTTGAAAAAATACAGTACCTGAAATTTTAAAAAACAACTAGATGGACATGAACTCCATGGATATTTTTCTAAAGATTTTGTTCTACAGCAGAAAAACTACAGCCCTCAGGCCAAACCCAGGCAAGACTTTTCTGTACCTTCTGCAAAGGTTCTACATCTGCAAAGGGCCTGGAACAACAAAAACAAACAAAAAACAAGGAGCAATAATGACCACGTGCAGCTCACAAAGCCTTAAGTATTTATTGCCGGCTCTGCACAAAAAGTTTCTCCATGTCGGAGGAGCGAGTTTGTGATGAGAAGTCATTGGATTGCTCCCCTGTCAGGAGGAGCGGGTCAGAAACTCAGACCCCACCACCTGCGGGTCCTTGTCCTCCCACGCAGCGCCCCCTGATGGATCCCTGCCCGTAATGCCTGCGTGGGGAGCTCCAGCTCCCACGGTGGCCATGGCGACGGACTGATGAATGGGGAGCCAGCTCAGGCTCCTGCAGAGGCCTAAAGGCTTACTCTGTGACTAAGTCCACATCGCCAGGACGGCTCTGCCCGGCGCTGTGCCAGCGACGAGGTGACCCGAATGGCCACGCATCGTCCTGCCCTGGGTGCTGGGATTCTTTGGCCATGAGATTTCTAACACAGAACCCACAGCACACATCAGGCCAAAAGATGAGCCGCTCGAGCTAATGCATGAGAAGCAAATATATGACTGTGACCTTACACCTTCCTCAGTTCACGATGTCTTAGAGCTCTTAAGCTTTTCACATTGACTTCTTAAATCTCATATTTAAAGTAAAAACTAACACTGTTGAACATTAACAAAAGATAAGGCCAAAGAGGTTTTATTCATACATCCAAAAATAACTTCCTATTTAAAGTTAATATAAAAAAAATCTCCAAATCCAAAGGAGGATGTGTATCTTAATGTCTTAAAAGGATTAGCTACATTTACTTAGCCACTGACAATTATTTGGTTTCTAAATCCAGCAAGTGTGAGAAAGACTATAAAAAGAAGTCAAGGGCAGTGTGAATGCCAGCAAAAAAAGCGTCGTTCAACAAAATGCAAATGGCGATATTTTTCTGGACAGGTATTTGGAATAGGTTACTTCGTGGAACAGAAAACCTGGTGGAGCGAGGACTCGCCCTGGGGAAAGTGTGGTGTTTGTAGGGCCATACTGTGGCCAGACAATCAGCAGAACCAGGACTTCAGGAAGGACGTCAGCCGAAGTAAAGCAGACCAAGACTCGAGCCTCACGTGTAGCCTCAGTTCCCAAGATAGGTAGACAGTTTGAGAAGGTAAGAATGGCCCAGGGAAGACTGGCCGGGAAACTCGAGCGTATAGTTAAAGGAAAGGACTTTAAACTGCCTAAGGTATAGATCTAAGGGAGGCGGGACAAGAGAGAGGGTTGACTCAGGAAGAAGTTGAATATGACCTCGAAAGCCATTAGCATTTCCATGCAATAGGAGAGCATGCCAATTTCAGCCAGGAAAAAGGGTAGCTGGATGGTACCAAATGCTTCAACAACAACCAGTGCCATGCTCACAGTCACTTACTTTACTACCCGGAATCACGGTGACAATCACATTAGGCCGGAAGGGAAGCAGCCTGCACTGTACATCAACCGTTTCAGATTTGATTCCTATTGCTACTTCTACCTCCAACAAGGGGGAGAAGAGAGACAGGGAAGCACACAGCTCTGGGGAATGGGTGTGAAGCCCAGGCCCCTGTGCCCACGCACCTGCACTCGACAGACACTGCGGTGCCACTCGCAAGAGCCCGCTGTACGTCAGTGAGCGGTCTGCTCAACGAGTACATCTCCGCCTCATTTTAGGTCCCTACATCTGCAGCCCCGCCCTGCCCTCATTCTTTTCTTATATCCTCTTCTATTTTCTCTGCTAAAGAAAATCAGTGATCGGCTGGGGTGGGGCTCAGTGGTAGGAATGTGCTTGGCTACATGAGGCCCTGGCACCGCACAAGAATCAGTGATGCCAGACATCGCAACTTACAGTATGAACAGAAAGCTGTTATTTGGTGCGTTCGAAGATGCACAACCCATGACAGAATACCGTCTCGGTCTACTGGGTGAGCCTAAGCACTGATGCCAACATAGCCCGACATGTTTCACACACAGACTTCCTGTTGGACAGCTGTGTGTATAAGAAATCCAACCATGCTCTGGAAATTTTTCCTGGGATGTTCAAGTCGTGCAGACTCTGGCTGCTGGACTCACCCCCTGCCCTAGCAGGACCTCCCGCAGTCCAGGTAAGCAGGTGGAATCCAGAACACCCTTCTCCACAGGGCTGGGTGAGGGCTCCGCTAAAATCAATCACCTGCAGATTAGCTAAGATCCATGAGCTCCTCCCGGCCTTGGGGTAATATTGCACACTGAGAAGTTCTAAGAGTGAACGGGCACATTCTGATCAAACCTATCTCCAAAAGGTAGCTTTTCTCTTCTCATTTCATCTTATTAGAAAGTAAAGTCCTGTACCCATCACAGGAGCAGGGTGCTCTGGTGTGGGAAGCCCACGTGAGCAGCTGTTCGTGTGGGGACAGAGGCCTGGGCAGTGCCTGCGCTTTCCATTCTGTTCTGCTGGGAACCTAAACTTCCCTAATGTCTAAAATTTATTAATTAAATAATAAGTCATTTCTGAGGACTTGAGTGCCTTGTATATGACAAAAAATTACTGTCACTTAAAGGACCCTTTTCAGGAGTGACCGGGATGTGGAGCAGCTCTCTGCCCTTCAAGATAAGAGACTGCTTCTTAAAATGAGCTCTGAAGAGAACTCCCATGGAGGGCAGCTGTGCATCACCACCAGCACCCATTTTACAATCCCAGTTGGGAGAATCCCATGCGGAGCAGGCTCCGCCAAGTCCACGTTTGTGTTTGGTGTGCAGCCTGCCAACGGGACGAGTGGGCTTCCATCCCGGCCTGGCCCAAGACCTGCACACCCTTCCTCTGCTCGCCCTCAGACAGCTCACAGTGCTCTCCACAGTGCTCTCCTGGGCCGGACAGCCTCAGCCAATCTGTGCTATGTTCTGCTTCTCCCGCATCACACACAGTCCTGCTCCGCTCTCCTGGGTAGAGCAGAACTGAGCTTCCGGCTGCCCCTCCCAGGGCAATGGAGCATCAGCCACGTTCACTGCTGGAGCAGTGGAGATGCTGGCTGCTGTTCCCGATGTGACACAAGGCCAGCGCCCTCTCCTTCCCGTGCTGCCTGGGGTGCCCGCTGTCAGGGCACCGCTCCAGTGGCCTGAGTCGCACGACTCCGCGCCATCCCCTTTGATCAGCCCTGCAGCCTGCTGTCCTCTCCCACACACCAGGAGGCTGCTGTCAGCTGCGCACTCCCAGCTGGGGATGGGCCTCCCCGCTCCTCTGGTCCTTCCTCCTCCATCTTCCCCAGCACGCTTCCGGCGGGCTTTTCCAATGCTGCTCTCCTTGTCTAAGATATTCACTCTGCATCCATGATGCCCATCACATGTGCAGGACAAGCTACCAACCTGGTTGAAGGTCTGCCCTTCCCCGGGGACGGTCCCTCTAGGAAGGCACTCCAGAGCAGGAAGAATGGATATGCAAAGCCCAGGGAGTTGGAAACGCTCCTGCGTTTATAGAGCCTCTCCCAAAGGCAAGGCAGCTGAGTAGTGAAGAAAAAAACACTTAAGGCTCTTTCAGTAAAGAAACCCTTTTTAAAACTCTGTCACACTTTTGTAAACAGGATGTTTAATCTTGTAGCTGTCGGAACACACAGTGGAGTCACACTGATAAGTGAGTGCCCCTGCCTCCTTTCTCAGGCATTTATTCTTTTCCTCACTGTCCTTCAAGGTCACCAGTGACACTTCTTCTATGCAAAGAGTGTTCTGTCTGTTCTGGGTCCTTCTCCTGCTGACCCCTGCTGTCCTCAGGATCACAGTCCTCCCAAAAGCCTCACCGTCTGTCTGCATACCACCTCTTCTGTCCCCCAGGCCAGTTCTCTGGACAGTCTTTCTTGGTTTCCTTCCATTTGTTTCTTATCTGCCTTTTACTTTTAATTTTTTACTAGATGCATGTGATGGCTTGTACCTCAATGTCCACCCAAAGCCTTATGTGCTTGCAGGTGGGGCTTGTGAGGGCTGGCTGGGTCCTGGGTGTATCAGGCTGGGAGTAAGGGTGCGTGGTACTAAGTTAGTCCCCTGATTGGTTTAGCATAGTTCTGGCTGTGGACATTGGGAAGGCCCACCTGGGTGTGGGTGGCACCACCCAAACTGCTGGCAGTCCAGAGGGGACAGAAGGGAAAGGGAGGCTTGCTTCACTGCTGCTGCCTCCCGCCTGCCCTTCCATGGACTGTTTCTCCTCTGTCCCGCCTCCCTGCCTTGGAGCCAGCCGACTATGGACTGACACCTCTACAAACTGTGGGCCAAAATAAACCTTTCCTTGTTTGACTTTGGGAGTCAGCTTTTTCTATCAGCAATGAGAAAAACTAAGACAACGCACCTTCAAGAAAAAAATCCTTCCTCCTTTTTCTTCTTTTATATTTCTCTGCTTGAAACAATTGTTCCTTTACTTTCAACTCCCACTTCTGTAACCATCCCCATGACGAACTCAGACTCAGTACTGTACTTCCAGAGAGTTGCGGAGAGTCCACTGCTGTCCCTGTACAACACCAGCACTGTAAAAGCAGTACAGTCAGCATCTTAGCGAGATCTCATCCCAGACCCCTCCATGTCCCACTGAGCATCACGCTTTGCCAGCCCACAAGACCTAGAATGCGCGGATCACCTCTGGAGCCTGGCACGCCCCTCTGCACCTTCCCACCCACACCACCTGGTATCACTCCAGGTGAACCTGTCTCTGGCGCTGCTGTGCTCTCCTGCCCCTCCCAGCTCCCCATGGGCTATAGCAGTCAGCACATTCAGCCCGCTTGCTGCCCTTGCTCGGAACCAGCGCTGCATTCTCTCCTTGCCCTGTGTGTCCAGGCCTGATCTCATCCCTCACTTCCTGTGTGCTCCTCTCTGCTAATTGGTCATCTCCGAGTCCCCCAGTTCCCCCCATGACCTCGCTAATCCCTCCACACTCACTTTCACTGATCCTGGGCTTTGGAGAAGGCTGAGGAGGAAGTTGGGGCAACGTTCTAAAGGATGACATCATGACAAGGAGAAAGAGGAGCGACTCCGCCCGAGCAGTTTGCCTGCACAGACGGTTCGGCCAGCTCTGCTGCGTGCGCACAGCATGCAGCTGGCCAGGTACGAAGACAACAGAAACTGCAGATGTGTTCTGGATTCTGCAACTGAATATGAAGTATAGGAAATGAAAAAATTTGAAAGTAGAACTGCTCCATACTAAACAAAATTAATTCAAAATGGACCACAAGCCTACATGGAACTCTAAAACCTAAAAGTGTACAATTTCCTTCTACGAAATCACTAGAGCTCTGCTCCAGGGTGACATTAAAGCACATTCACTTGCTATGTAAAATGAAAAATTGCTCAACTCTGTAACTACCTCAGACATACCAGATTTGTGTCTATAAAATGGGCATAATCTCACTGAAGTAGTTTTCCTTTTTTTTTTTAGTTATCTTAGTAAGGGTCTTGCTATGTGGTCCATGCTGGCCTTGAACTCATTGTGATCCTCCTGCCTCAGCCTCCTGAGTGCTGGGGTTACAGGTGTGTGCTACCACACCTGGCTCCCTCACTGAGTTTTGCAAGGGAAGGGAAATTAATGATCATAAATATAGATGTCTAACAATATTAACTACAGTAAGAAATTTCTAGTGTACCACTGTCGTAGACCTACATTTTATAAATTTATCCCAATTTTAAAGGATGTCATTTTTGTTCAAGGTAAATTTGTACAATAATATTTATAATATTTACAATATATAATATAATATATATAATATTTATAATGTATTTGTTAAATTTCTAAAATTCCATTACCATATCTGATTTTAGGAAGATTATCTTCTCTCAAGACATAACAAGCTGGGCGTGGCGGCCCACACCTATAATCCCAGCACTCAGACGGCTGAAGCAGGAGGATCACTGCAAGTTCAAGACCAGCCTAGGCTACATAGTGAGTTCAAGGCCAGTCTGAACTATGTAGTGAAACCCTGTCTCCAAAAAACCATACCAAACCAAACCAAAAGAAATAACAGATATAAATTTTTTATATTTTCAAAAAAAAGTACAACTTCTAGAAGAATGCAGGAGAACATTCTTATAATCACTCGAGTGGGGCAGAGAAGTCTCAGGATATAAAAAGTGTGAGCCATAAATAAACAAATACAAGCTAGATGTCATCAAATAGACAACCCTTGCTCTTTAGAAAAACTATTAAGAGAATGAAAAAGACAAATAGACTAGGATGAAAAACACAACTGCAAAGCATGTATCTGGTAATGTGTTTGCATCTAGAACACATGAGGAACTCTAAAACCTAGTCAATAGGAAGATAAAGCAATTTTTAAAAAGGTGAGGGGACACAAGAGACTTGGTAGCACTTTTACAGACAGAAAGATGCTCTGTAAGAACATCGCAGAGGCGCAGGGCCAGCCTGCAATGGGGCACCTCCACACACTGAGGAGGATGAAGTGGGAAGGAAACCCGGCCAGGCCCAGGGCGAGCGAGAACACAGAGGAACCCTGCACAGTTCCAGCGGGAGCCCCGAGGGCCCCAGCACTGTGGACGCAGTGTGACAACGTCTTACACTACGCAAACATCTGCCATGGGGTACAGCAACCCCACCGCAAGGTAACCAGCAAGGGAAGAAACTGTATGTCCTCGTGAGGGCCCGTGCGTGAGTGCTGCAGACAGCTGCTTTCACACAAGGGCGCCAGCGGAAACTAACCACACACAGCCCGAGAACCAAAGCAAATTTCCCCACAAGCTCAACACTGAACCTAACCATTTAATACGATTCTGTTCTCGTCCACGACCAGAATCATGGAGAAAATTAAGTTCGTGAGCTGAGAAATACAAACTTACACTGCAAATCTGCAACAGCTCTGGGGTTGTCAGAGTCTCTTAACAAAATGAGAAATTAAACAGAGCATCAGGAGTGATGTCACTGTCTTATCAACACATTCTGGAGCCAAATGACTTTGTTCTCTTTAACTAATCAGTCACAGATTCACTCTAATCTGTCAGTGCATAGCTACCCCTCTAAGGTAATGACACTACCTATAAATCCACACCAGAGGAAACGAGTGCTCCACTCTGTGAGCTCCCCTTGCCTACGCCCACAGTGGCCTTTCTTCCCCACCTGTAGTCCTGCTCGGTGTGTCCCCCGACAGGCTGTGCCGCCCTCCACCTCTCACAGCCTCCAAGTCCTTTCTGTCCTTGAAGGTCTAGTTTATAAGTGGAAAAGTTCAGGATCCGTTGGAGTATCTTCAGCATGAAAATGCGCACTACCTCGAAGAACTCCCACAGCCTTGACCTGCATGGCCTGAGTCCTAATTTCTGTGTTGCAGGTGCTCGTATGTGGGTAATGTCCAGCCTCCCTGGACTAGTTAAAAGGGAAGTAGAAACCATGAGAGTTTCTTAACTGCCAAGTGGATGGGATTAAGAGACTCCCACAGAGCTGGATAGACCATGGATTGTTACACTCATCAGTGGATTAATCCACTGATGTTCACAGCTGAATGTGCTGCTAGGAAGTGGAGGCCCCAACTCTCCCTAGCTCTGTCACCTGCTCTGCTTTCCAGCCACCATGCAGTGAGCAGCTTTGCTCCACCTGCCCTTCCGCCATGATGTTCCTGCCTTGGAGCAGCTAACCATGGACCGAAAACCCAGAAACCGCGAGCCAAATAACCGTCTCCTCCTTTCCGTGGTGAGTGTCAGGTGTTTTGTACCAGGGACGGGAAAGTAACTAATAAAGCTCTGGAAGAAAAAAAGGACAATAGAGAAACCCAAGAGAATCTGAATGCAGTATTGAGTTCAATTAATAAAAAGGACTCATTATTGGTTCATGAATTGAAGCATATAATACAAACACATATAGGCCGTTAATAATAAGGGAATCCACATGGGAAATACATGAGGACTCTATACTATCTCTCCAACTGTCATGCAAAGCTAAAACTATCTAAAATACAAATTATATTTAAGAAGTAAACCAATTTTAAATATTAAAACATTATCCCAAAGTGTCACATGTTGTTTTAAAAGTATTACTTTTCTCTCATTGCTAAGACAAAATGCCCAACACCTAAGGAAGGTTTATCTAGCTCACAGTTTGTAGAAGCTTTAGTCCATATCAGCTGACTCTAAGGCAGGTGGCACACGGCAGAGGGCAACAGTTCATGGTGGTGGAAAATAACAAAAGCAACAAGAGCAAAAGGGGAGAGCAAGTATCTTTTCCTCCCTTATACTGTATGCAGGCTACCTGCCCTAGGGAAGATGTAGCACTCACATCACTAATCCCAGCAATAGACAATGAACCAACCATATTCAGCTGCCTCTGAAAAGCTTACCCTCCTTGACCACATGAGGCTTTGGGGGGACATGCAAACTCAAATCATGACACATATTAAAACTTTTCTGGGTGATAAAGATTTAAGTGATATCAAGACCCTCACCCTGTAAGGGAACATACTCCTGGACATGAATTAATCTACATTAGGAGCTGAGGACAACAATTCTCAACATAAATAAACTTCGTATTTTCAAAATTTGTTATAT